CACAGAGTTAAAAAATTTTAACATTTTCTAATGGTGGTGTGCCTCATAATTTTTTTCATGAAAAAAGTGTGCCTTTGCACAAAAAAGGTTGAAAAACACTGCTTTAAACATTCTAACATGGAATCTTGCTTGCTGGTACTGCAATAGAGGTTCCATTTTTTCTGCCTGTATGGAAAAGATATAAATCTGGTACAAGAAACATGACAGCTGATGACTTCCTATATAATGGGTACCATTCATAAAAAAGGGATGTGGGGGCTTAGTGGCTACGATGCTGAGCTTTCTGATCAGAAGGTCGGCAGGTCAGTGGCTCGAATCCGTAGCACTGCATAATGGGGTGAGCTCCCGTTACTTGTCCCAGCTTCTGCCAACCGAGATGTCTTTGGACAGCGTTGGCTCTTCGGCTTAGAAATGGAGATGAGCACCACCCCTAGAACTGGAAACAAGTAGTACACATGTGGAAGGGTGGGGGGACTTTACCTTTACATTAGTCATATAAAATGAAGGCAACTCCAGGCAAGGGGCCAGAGTGGCTGAAAGGCAATTAGGGTATCTTCATTCCTCTCTCTTTGAGAGTAGTAGCTACAACAATCCACTTTTAAAAGCAAATGGCTATCACCCTATTTCTCCCATTACAAAGAAAAGCTATAATCAATGTAATATGAAGCTAGGAGATATGCTGGCAACCTTCTTTGAATTACCCAAATGCTGTGACACAAACGGACTGTGATTTTAACCCTACATTGGGCCCAGGGGTGAGTTTCAATTTTTTACTACAGGTTCTGTGGGCGTGGCTAGGTGGGGGGCATGTGACTGAGTGGGTATGGCCTACTTGATTCACTCACGCACACGCAGTCACATGCCCTCCCACCTAGCCATACACACAGAATCGTGAAAATTTGTTTTGCTAGCTTGGAGGCTGGCAAAGAAGCCTCGGTTTCCCTGCTGCTGCGGCTCTTGGAGGAAGAAGGCAGGCCCGGCACTCACTTCCCTTACCGTTCACCGCCACTCGACCCCTCGCCGCTTTCCTGCCCAGCTGCCCAGCTAAGCAGGGCAGGTGGAGGCCAGGATGCAGCGGACAGGGAGGAGGCAGTAGCGCTCTGTCCTGCAGGGGCGGTGGTGGTGAGTGGTAAGAGAAGGAAGCCCCGTGCCGTGGGACAGCCAGCCTCCCCCGCCACTGCACCCTTGCCTTACATGCGGAGCCTCTGCAGGAGGGGCGCCTCCCATTTTGCCCCACGCATGCCATCCTCCCCCACAGCTGCTTCTACAGCGCCGAATGGTCCNGCTATCCAATATCTTCTTAGAATTCCAGTGTTGGGGCATTCACAACTTCTGGAGACAAGTTCTTCCACTGATCAATTGTTCTAGCTGTCAGGAAATTTCTCCTCAGTTCTAAGTTGCTTCTCTCCTTGATTAGTTTCCACCCATTGCTTCTTGTTCTACTCTCAGGTGCCTTGGAGAATAGTTTGACTCCCTCTTCTTTGTGGCAACCCCTGAGATATTGGGACACTGCTATCACGTCTCCCTGAATTCTTCTTTTCATTAAACTAGACATACCCAATTCCTGCAACCGTTCTTCATATATTTTAGTTTCCAGTCCCCTAATCATCTTTGTTGCTCTTCTCTGCACTCTTTCTAGAGTCTCTACATCTTTTCTACATCTTGGCGACCAAAACTGAATGCAATAAAAATGAATATTTTTATTTTTAAAAGTATGGTGCCTACTGTAAGGATGCAGAACTGATTTTTGAAGGCCTCCGTGAATATAAAAATGATATATAATACTGATACTTAGGTCCCACTAAAAGATCTGTCTTATAATACAATTCCATTTAATATTTGAGGGTGGGAGGGGAAGAATTCAGATCAGGTCTTTGTGAGAAGAGAAATATATCCATTGGAAAATTGTCGGTAATAGGCCTAGGAGTGCGCTTGCAGGCCTAATTGAACCGAAGTTTTAAACTAACATAATTGCAAAATGTACCAGACATATTTCTAATGTGCTGACTTGTATGCTGCATTTTCTGCAAAGTAAGCAATTGTAAAGATATATTTAGAGCAGGAAGAATGAGATGGTAGGAAATGACGAACTGAAAGTAACAAATAGCTGAGAGCTTCAAATGTACACAAGTGTTTACAGAAAGTGACGGTCAGTAAGAAAGTAGGGAAGAACAAGGAAATGAAATGATGGAATGCGTATGTCAGTAAAAAAGAAAGTATAAGAAATGTGACTTGAGATGAGAATGGTGTCCTTTGCCCAATAGCAATCCCTGCCAGTTCTAACCTATAGAAGACATTCCACAAATCTACTGTGCCATTTAGACCCAGTTCCAGCTGCCTCCCCCCACCCGTCCACACCATGCTTGCCTGCGTACCGCTCACTGATGGGCTGGCTCACCAATCACCCCGCTGCCTCTAAGAGTCCTATCTAAACCTCAAAGTCTTAAAGCTGTCAAGTTTTAACATTCCGGTTCTAAAGGGTTAGAGGTGCAAGGGTCTTGTAACTTGACAGCTTTAAGACTTGCACACTTCAATGCCAGAGTTCCTGAGCCAAGATGATTGGAGGAGGAATTCTGAAGTCCACAAGTCTTAAAGCTATCAAGTTTGAACACCCCTGGGTTTTTTTTCCTAAAGGGTTAGGGGTGCAAGGGTTTGTAACTTGATAGTTTTAAGACTTGCGTGCTTCAAATGCCAGAATTTCTGAGCCAACATTTTGGTTGCGAAGCAAGAGCGTTGTTAAGTGAGTTTCACCACATTTTCTAAGTTGGCCATGCTCACCCAGTCACATGACTGCTAAGCCACTCCTACCCAGTCACATGGCTGGCAAGCCACTCCCGCCCGGTCACGTGGCCGGCAAGCCATTCTCACAAAGCAGGCCACACCTATAGAAGAAGTTCTAAAAAAAATTGAAAGCCACCACTGCTCTGATCTTAAAGTAAGATTTATTGCTTCCCTTTGCTTTTTATCAGAATATTTTTACAGCACTTTACTTTGGTGGTTGAACCAGAGGAGTAGAATAATGCTAAGAAAAGCAACTCCTGACACAACCTGGATTACACTCAGAGGTGGTATTCTGCTGATTTGCCCCAGTTTGGGCGAACCAGTAGCAGCAACAGTGGGAGGCTCCGCCCACCCACCCACCCACCCAGACATCATCACGAACGCTCTGTGCATGCGCAGAAGCGCCGCGAGCGAAGCGAGCAAGTACGCACATGCTCCCGGTTCTGAACCAGTAGCGAAGATAAGAGGAAACCATTACTGGTTACACTGTATAGGAGCTTCATATTATTACCGTAATGGTGCCTATCCAGGGTTGCCTTTTGAGGATACTAAAAAATAGTTGGTTCAAAAGGCAGTTGCCTGCGTTTTAACAAGTTAGAAGATATGTTAGAAATGATTTAGCAGAACACTATCCAAAAACACCATTACTTGCCAATAGGTTTCAAATTTAATTTTAATTTAATTTTAATCATATAAAATCTATAGCCCAGGTCTTGCTGCCTTCAGGACCATTTGCTCAGTCCAGATTGGGATGCTTCTGATTGCTTCCCTGCAAGATGTTAATTATATTCTAGCTGTATGGAGCACTTTTCTTCCCATGTTAGAATGGCTCCTCCTTTGTTATTTTTTAGAAAAGAAGTGAAAGGGCCCCACTTCTTTTAGGGGTCCACCATCCTATTAGGCTTTTGGATTATACTAGTACTCTCAATTTATGACCATAGTTGACCCCTTAACTGAGGTCATAAACTGGATCATCATATGACCATGACCAATTTTATGATCTTTTTTGTGGTCGTTGCTAATGAACACCAAGGTCGTTAAATGAACCCCTTGTTCTCTCTGGCATTCCCCTCACCCCCCGAAACCAGAAGTAAATGGCAATTTCTGAAGAAATATAAACCGTGGCCATGGGCTCCAAAAGGCCATAAATGTGATCCGGATACCAAAATGCAGTCATATATTACCTCAAGGGGAAGGTAAATGCTGGAATTCCAATTCTGCATGGTAAGTCCCTTTTGGGGGTGCCTGTTGTATCTTCAAATAGTTGCCAACTGACTGGTTTTAAGTTGAGGACTACCTAGTTGCTAAACCTGATAACTGCTGTTTTACCAGGTGCTGTGCTTTTTATGGTTCTATGCCAGAGCTGTATTTTTTTATGTACCATTTACTAGAGCAGTACACCGGTATATCTTCACCAAAATGAAAAATGAATAAAATAAAACTTTTAAATCAGAGGCAATGTTTCTATTCTTACAGTATACACCGTTTTTATTTGGATATAATGTGCTATTGGTAAACTTTGAGTTTGACTTTATTTCTAGTTGAGGGAATTCATTAATTAGAATTTCATAAGAAAAAAAAAATAGGAAATGGGACCTACTTTTAGCTTTAGCTCCATCAGAAGAGAAGAAATTCTGGACCTATTAGTCAAAGAAAAAGGAAAAAAGACATAAATAAAATAAAAATAAACCTCATGACATTAATTATAGTGTGTTAACATTAAAAAATCAAAACTGATATATATCTTTCTTGCTAATTTATGGTTATCTTTCTTTTCTTTCCTGTCTCTCTTCCTATTCTATATGCTGTTTTTTTTACCATTACAAGCAAATAGAAATTATTATGCAATTGTTAGAGAACTGCAGGCATTCTGTTTCACTGTCCAAGTATGACCTTTATAAACTAGAAAAAAAGCAAACTGATCCAAGTGACAATACAGAATCTTCAATTTGTTTATATCCTTGGTTATATGGTTTCATGATACTTGGAGCAAATCCTTATTTGCAATAGGTTTTTGTTTGTTTGGCAAATTAATATAGCCACCATCTTATAAAAAGTGTTTCTGGCTGGCATACAATAGTTAAATTTAAGATGTATATATTTTAAAACAGGATTGTTAAAAATACAAACCACCAGGCCCAGACAAGATTATGTATTAACTATAATGAATACATTTTAAAATGTCACTTGATCGGATGCCAAAATGTTGCTTATCAATATTTTCATAAGTTTACTGCCTGGCTTTACAGAGCTTCCTGTGTTTGCTATGATGAAAGAAATGTCCTTCTGGGTTCGGCTCCAAGTGGGGGAAAAGACACTGGAGACATGGAGGCTGCTTGGAAAGATGGTTTATTGGTGGACAGGGCCACATGGCTTGAGCCCTGAACAGAAAAGGTGATCACATGCTTCAATGTTGGTGGAGAAGAAGAGAAGGGCTGAGGGAGGGGCTTGCTAGGACCTGTTCAGTCCCACCTCTCTGTTTCCTGTTCCTGTGTAAGAAATGTATTCTGATTGGTTGTCAGACAACCATGGGGTCAATGCAGAGGCAACTCTCTAGGCTGTGTTTTGAATCCAGGTTTGGTTGAGTTCTCAGATGCCATGTGACCAGTTGGGTAAAGGGCCATTATCATGCTTTAATCCCATCCCCCCTGCA